CGCCCACTGTTGGCTTCCAGCTCGCTCTCCCCCCGCCTTCCTTCGCCCAGCGCCCCGAAGCACAGCGCCGCCCTCGCGAGTCGCGAGGTGTGGGGCGGGAGCCAACGGACATCGGCGTCACCCGCCCATTCCTCACGACACTCCCATAATCTGGCTGTGGCTCAAACAAGTGGTACCAAAATGGCACCCTGGTAAAACCCGCATAACCCCAGCTCTTTGATTTTGAGCCATACCCATATGGGTGGTATGGGCGGTTCTGCCTTTTGGGGTACTCCCTTTTCGGTGGCCTGGCGGTTTGGATCTTTGGGACTTCCCAGTTACCCTCCAGAAGGGGTTCAAATCCAATTCGGAGTTGCCTAAATGTCACGTCTCGGGGGGGGGGGAAGAAAGAAGGTGGTGTATTTCTTGGGTTTCCCTGTGACCCATCTGGAAAGGGCTCCCGAAAAGCATCCGTTACTTCCCCTCACTGTCCCTTTAAAGCGCCTCCGAAAGGCTGCTCGACTCTGGTTGAGTGGGCTTCTGGGACTGCTGGACATCCGGTGAACCACATGTCCACTGCAGTCCAAATACACGGGTTCATTCTCCAGTTTCTTCTGCCGCCATGTGGTGGCAAAACGGGTGCTCAAATGACGCAACTCTTCTTTGTTGGCATCTTCAAGGGTGATGGGTTCCAGCACTCCCATATCCAAAAGTCGCCTGATTTCCACATACGATGCCAGCTGATCAATATCTGCCAGTTCTTCACTGCTCAGTTGCTGTTCGTCACCATCAAGGCCGCGAGGACAATACAGCTTCTTTTGATCGAAATCTACAGCCTGCTCAAAGCCACGTTCCCATTCCAATGCTTCATCCAGTACTTGGATGCAAGTTGAGTGCTAACACCCTTGCTTTTCATTGTGTGCTTTGCATGTGCGTGGCCCGAAAGAACCTGCCAAAAGCATCTCTGGATTTGCGGCTTCCGCGAAGGCCAAGAACTACCACTGATAGACGAAATGAACCTCCCGCGGGTTGACTGCTGATTTCTTCATGCCAAATACCCAGAGATCGCTCAAACAATCACCCACCAACAGCTCAAAGATTGCCAGCTTTGAATACGTTCAGCATAAAACAAAATGGCACGCAACAGAGAAACCCGGAGAAATGGAAAGGAAGGGGCAGAGTGAGTTGCCAAGGCCCACTCGAGGGCCATGCTTTTTTTTCTATCTCGCGATGCTTCCTTTCCCTAAACCTCAATTTGATGGAATCGAAGGCCTGAGGGAGAGCCTCTGCCCCATGTTTGCATAAGCATCTTGAAAAAAAAAGGAGCGCTGCCCCCAAAGGCGGGGAAGAAGAAAAGGAGCACGTGATCAGTTCTCTTCCACGGAGGGAACCAGGGACCTTTCCGGAAGACCATCTCCTTTCAGCAGGATCTTCTGGTGGGTTACGCAAGGGGCGAGGATACCACCAACTGCCAAATGCGATTGCACGGTGTGATGATTGAATTGATTCCCTGAGCCAACCACCTAAACCCCAGCAGATCCCCAAACAATACTGTGGATGGCCAAAATCCTGCAACACTTTGAAACCATTGGAAACCATTGTTTGTTGGTATTTACAAGGAATCATCATTTGACGGTTTGTTAGGTGGTGCAAGATTGCGTACATCCACAGTACGTTGGCCTTGTCACTGAACTTGGTTTTTTTGTCTTCCCCGCCACCACATTCCGAATTCAAATATCACCTCTGATAGAAAGCCGCTTCACGTCAGCCGCCAAAGGGCCATGTTCCAATGTTCAAACTCACCCCACCCACCCACCCCCTCTCCAAACAAACAAGGCCCCAAGCGGTTGGAGCCCGGTTGAAACCGTTTTCCTCCGGCTCCGGAGCTCCACAACAGATTTTTCCGGTCCCTCCCCCAGTGTCCTGAGCACAGCTGCCTGGCCGGGCGCTTCGCGCATCGGGGTTGGCTTTGGGTGACCCTTGGGCGTTCCAAGTGGCCCATTCCAAGGGTTCCGAATTCGGCTTGCGGACTCTTGTCTCGGGGCTGGCAGGTGTTACACTTGCCGGCCGAAGCTGGCTGTTGCCAATCCAAGGCAGAAGCCATCAGAGTCGCACATGTACAGGTCCATGGAAAAAACCAGAGACGCAGTCCCTCTTTCTTCCGCATCCCTGCCTGGCGCACCATGCAAAGGCACGCCGAGGGTAGAAAGCGGTGGGTTGGATCTCGGCTTTCTCTTGTCTCACTCCTTTGGGTGTTGAAGGGGGTTGGGGGTTCGGGGGGGTTGGGGCTTGGGGCGGCTGGGAATGGTGTGCTTCTGAGATTGCTCGACTTTTAAGTTGTTAAAAAGGTAGCGCCGGAAAGTCTTTGCCTCCAGCGTCTGTGTCAGCTAGAAAAGGGTGTAGATGCGCTTTTCGCGGCTTTGTCCACAAGTACCCTTGCCGTGGTGCTTATTTAACGAACTCTTTTGCCAGCAAGGGGCCACAAATGCAGCATCCAACTTGTATCCTGGACTCAGGCGCCGGAATCATACGCCAAGCAGAGGGGATGCACAGAAGCCATGGTCTTCACCCGTGAACTCGGGGGTGGCCCAGTGGATCATCCGCTGGGCACATCGGCTGCCGGATGAATCTATGGTGGATATGCCACGCAACCACAACGCTACCGTCACACACGGCTCAGAGCAAGGGGAGTTGCGGCCGAATAGTCATTCGGCCTTCCAGACTGTCTAGTGTTCCCAAATTCGGGATGCAGGACTCAGATTCCCCAGTGTAAACCCGCTTTGAGAAGGACGCGGTCCTTGAGTGAAAGACAGTCAGAAGGTACTCACGTCCGTTCATCGAACTCCGAGCTGAGGCCGAAGTCTCTGATCAGAAGGAGTCAGACCCATGAAGAAACCCCCGTATCAGAAAGCTGCGCAAAGGAAGCACCCCCTCCACATTGATTTCCGAGACCACTCAGGTGGGGCTGTAGGGGTCAACATGTACGTGGTCAACATGTACATCTTCAACGGAATGACGGATCTACAATGTGGGCACCCCGGGTGCATCCAAGTCATAGCTTTTCACAAGGGTGCTGGCGGGTTTCCAGAATTCGGGACCACCTTACAAAGGAGATCCTAAAGGAAAGTCACCATTGCGGGTGGCCGTCGCAGAAGTGCTTCGCCATTTTTCTCCGGCGCGGCAACTTTTTCGCGGCGGCTCGGTGAGACATGTTTGGCCTGAGGTCCTGGAGTTTCTAAAGCCAAAGCAACCAAAATCTTTCGGGCATGGGAAAAAAGCAAGTGGCCCACAATCGCCTTGGGCCCTGGTAACCCACAACCCACTGTAAACGCCCTGGTAACCCACTGGAAAACCGCCTGGGAACCCACTGGAAACCTACTGGAAACCCCCTGGTAACCCACTGAAAACTCACTGGTAACCCGGAAACCCCTGGTAACCCACTGGAAACCCAGGAAACCCACTGGAAACCCCCTGGTAACTGGAACCCCCCCCACTGCACTAAAAACCCACTGGAAACGCCCTGGTAACCCACTGCAAACCCACTAGGAAACCCCCTGGAAACCCTCTGGTAACCCACTGGAAACCCAGGAAACCCACTGGAAACCCCCTGATAACTGGAACCCCCCCCACTGCACTAAAAACCCACTGGAAACGCCCTGGTAACCCACTGCAAACCCACTAGGAAACCCCCTGGAAACCCTCTGGTAACCCACTAGAAACCCACTGGAACCTCCCTGGTAACCCACTGGAAAACCGCCTGGTAACCCACTGGAAACCTACTGGAAACCCACTGGAACCCCCCTGGTAACCCACTGGAAACCCACTAGTCGCCACCATCAGAACATCTGACCGGTCCAAGCTCCGAAGCCCCAGCACATGGAGCTCGCGAAGTGAGCTTCGCGCGAATGCCTCCGAACGCGGCACAGGGCAGAAGGAGATTCCCGGGCCGAACGTGACCTCCTCACCGGCCAAATGCTCCTTGAAAGACTGTCCCAAGAGTCGTTCGGGAACTCAAAACGCAACTGCTTGAAGGGGCCCGGTTCTGGCACCAGTTTGTGGGTCAAAGGCATCCTTGAGGACACTCTCTATGCCGCAGGGGATGAGCCCCTGGACAAGGATGTGTGTGTGTGTGTGTGAGGTGTCAACTCCAACTGCCCCACCAAACTTGTGAGCCCAAAAGCCCACTGTGCTGCAAGCGCGATGATTTCAAACTTGTGGGGTTGTCTCCGAATGGACGGAGCCCCCAAGATGGTACTTTGGCTTCCCGTCAAAACAACCATAAACCGAGTACCATCGAATTAGGGCGCGCCAATGGAGGGGTGTGTGTGTGTGTGTGTGAGCTTGAGCATTCTGAATCTCCTTCCGCCGAGTGCTCCCGTGCTTTCAGCCGCAAAGCCTGTTAAAAGCCGCGCCCCCGCTGGATGGGCGTGAAAGCCCAGGCACAGCGTTCGGCCACCCCTTTCGGGCGGCGAAAAACGTCAACCCGTTATCGCTGTACTTGCCGGCTCCAGGTGATACTCCCCTCAAATGGGTACGTCGGAAATAGGGGTCTTTTTGGCAAATTCGGCCTCTGGTAAGCAATGCGTGGTCTGCCAGATGGTGAGATGCTGCATTTTGCAGCATCTTGGTTCTTTATAATCCTCTACATTTGAGCTACAATGTGTCATTTTTTGTATGAACTCTAGTAAAGAACGGCCGCTTCCAGGGCCAGCTCCCAAATGTCGCTTTTGGAGCTCCAAATTACTAATCACGCTTGTCTGTTCTGGCTAGCTGGGTTCTGGGGTACTTTCAGTGGAGTCAAGTTCGGTCAAAGGGAAGTTCCCCCCGTTCCATTCACCCAGCCATTTGCGGCCCACTCCACTAGAATACTTGGTTCCAACATGCTTGCGCTGTTTTTTGTGTTTGTCAAAACGAACAGAAAGTCCATAGATCGGCGCGGTTGCTTCAAATGAGTTGTCCCTCTTCACGCTCAGAACTCCAAGGCAGAAAGCAGGGGTGGCTCTCCTAAAGAACAAAGACGCCTATCGATTTGTACCGCTCGCCTGGCTGCCGGAAAAACATTTCTTGACTTCACACGGCGCAAGGCGCCGGTGAATTCACGCCATGTACCTCATTCCGCTGTGCAGGTGTTTGAAGGCATCCGCTTAGATGTTGTTTGAAAGGAACCCAAAAGCACAACATGGAGGATATGGATCTGTCTTCAAATAAATGGGGGTGTCTTTTTTGAGGGTACCCATTTCTGGGTGAACCACCATTTTGTTGAGTGCCCCCTATTTTGAGACACATCTGTTTGTTGGGCCGTTATCGGTACTTAAGTTTGACATCCCAGAAGTGGGAAGCAACAGGACCCTTCCTACGGTCCGGGAAATGAAAAAAGAGCGCCACGCTGAATAGACTGGAATCCAATGCGCAACACTGACCGAAGAAGGACACCTCTGCTCCCGGGCCTGGCACTGTCCGGCTCATGAGGCCAGTCTTGAGAGGATCCCACGAGTCTAGCGAGTCAAACGACGGCCTTTTGGTGGTCTTCAAGTGACACCAAGTCAAATCAAACTATGGGGGGTGTCTCGTTTGGAGGGGTAGTTTTCAATGGAAACCATAAGGAAGCTAACCATTTTGCGGTGGTCCCCAACAACAAGCACACCCCGACAACTTTTCCTGGCATCTGTGCCTGTTGAACTGAAGTACAACTCAAAGTGCCCTGCTGCACTTTGTGCCTTGCTGCACTTTGTGCCAAACACACTGCGTCAAGAATTGTGAGACTCAACTTGATTATGTGCGCCTAGATACCTTATTCATGTACACATAATATGTATTTACATATGTGCATACTTGCCAACCATCCTTGCTCTTGGCAAATGAGCAGCGACCAAAAACCGTTGACCTTAGGTTCGACGAACATTGTTGTAAAGGTTTGTAGGCTTTTCTATAATCGTTGTTAAACCAAGTAGTAGAACAACCTACTAAAATGCCCTGTAATATTAACCTCGCATGAATCAACCCCACTTTCTTTAACTTAGTGGGAATCAGTACAACTTTTTGAGGGGAACACCCCATGTTCTTTTTGACGGGTATGTTAATCCCAACCTTACCCTCTTTCCAATCATGAAAGTGGGCTCCGGATCCTTCCCCAAAACAGGGGTCACTGGATCCCTCCCTCAAAAAGTCGTGGATTTCACTGGGTTGCTTCCACTGAAAAGGTCCAAAACACGGAAATCGAGGCACGCCCGCAACAGGCAGCTCGTCACACCCTCCACCCTCTCAGCTTCCATTGGACCTTCCAGAAAATCTGAGCTGCCGGGCGGAAGGTGCCGGATCGTCTGACTCAACGAGCCAAGACCTCGCGGAAAGGGCGTACCCTGAGTTCCGGCGTGCTGTCAGTCCCCCCATTTCCCCCTTTTCTTGGCAGCCATGCCAGGCCCCATTTTTCATGTTCCTTTAAAAAGGCGAAAGGTGAAGGTTGGCTAAAAAGAGCGGGTGTTCAATGTGGGAGACCCTGATGCCCGATTTGTCCTTAAGGGGCTAATGGTCCAAAAAAGAAAAGTCTTCAAACTCCCAGTGTGGTCGCTGAAAGGTTTATCTCAAATTTGGGGTTGGTGATCTGTGGAAGGCGACGCACCCTCGGCACTTCTCGCGGCATCCAAACGAGCGCGGCAGAATCGCACCTCAAAATGCCCAGAAAAGAACACTGCCGGATGGCATCATGGCTAGTTGATTCCGGTTGGTGTGGGTCTGTCTTTTGGTAGGTGTTGCACTGACAGACAAGATCCTCCGGCTGAAGAGGTGTCTCCTTGTGGCAAGTCCGGTTGAGTTAGGTGACACTCCGTGGGAACAGGTCCATGGCAATCACCATTTGGACGCGCTCAACATGCAACGAATCAAGCAAGCGAGGGGTTCCTTAAACCAGGACCCCCTTTTTGGCTGGCTCAGAACAACACAATTAAAATCAACCACAATCAGGGGGCTCCAACGCAGTGGGTGGACGATTTCCTTCAGCAATTCGGATGGATGAAATCCTGCAAAGAATGGGATAGACCACCTACAACCTGGTGCAGGATTTTGTCCATCCACAGTATGAAAAATACCCCGAGACTGCCCCGTTGTGATAGATTCCCTTTAACACCAACAGAAGATTTAGAACAGTATTATTCAGCAAATGGAAGATTACTCGCTTTCGCTTTGACCACCACATCAGCCACATCCTAGGCTTGGAGAGGGGGAACGGCTCCGCTTGCCCACCCTGTGGTCTATTGGAAAATAGGTGGCCAACACTTAGCGGCAGGCCGCAGCAAACACCCGGGATGCGGAGGACATCCCTTCTCAGGCAGAATCAGTCACGGATGTTTCGCTTCTTTTTTGTTGGGGGGGCGGAACCCAATTGATCCAAATGGTGTTCCATCAGCTCACTCGAGTCGCTTCTGAACTTGAAACGCGTTCGGGTCGTGGCGAGCTCTGAGCTTGCTTTCGTGGAAACCCAGCAAATGGGGGGGGGGAAGCACATAGGATTAGGATTAGCAAATGGGGCTGGGAAACACATGGGGGGGGGAACCCCTAAACACATATTCTTGATCCTTTGACAGATTCTCATTTAGGGGTACTCTGTTTGAGACCAGACTTCCGTTCGCCCGGTCAGCGTCCGAAGCCTTGGGGCAAGAAGGAGCCCGATCCGATCTCCTGAGGATCTTTTTCGGCGCGCCGATTTCGAGGGTCGTGGCTCAGTGGCGTGGGCGGATTTTTTTGCATTTGGCGGTGGCGCATTCAAACCGGAAAATTCCACCATGGCTTGCCCGATTGGTAAGTGGAAACATGGTTGCCAAGACCTGCGGTCTGCCCCTTCTGCCTAATTTTGAGCCACACCCATTTCCAACCAGGATGGCAAATTTTGAAGATGCCCGGCTCACCCTCACCCCTGATCCCCTCCCAACTGACACAAGTGGCAATATGTTGGAGGGGTGGTCGCCGCAAGTTCCATCATGACTCGATTTAGGCCTGTTGCATTGTATACCAGTGTGCCAATCATGCATAAATGTACATGTGCACATGCATACACTTGTATATATGTAAATATATACAAAATGCAAATATTTCCGTGCTTGGGTACCTACACATAGGTATACCCATATATACAAGTCCTGCTGCTTGCTTCATGCCAATCGGCAAAATGCACTGTCCAAGCAATACCAAATGGGCGCATCCTCATTCCCGCGCCGCCCCTGGCTCGCCGAGTCCCTGTCCCAGAAAATTCGCTCCTTCCCGTCGCCCGAGACGAAGGCGACCTCGAACTTGTAGGAGACGCTGTCCTTCTCCGGCGAGGGCAGGTGATCCACCTGACAAACGAGGATCTGCTGTGAGTTTGCGGCATGGCTGATGCCTCTCGAGCCCTCCATTGCGCCAGGACACCTTTCCGGGAACAAGTCTCTTCCCTGGTCCTGCCATGCCACACAATATGAGTCACGGACAAAAATCACTGTGCGCCAGGGAATTTGGGCTTGTAACATCCATTCACGCTTGCAAAGAGTGGCCAGGACAGTAGATTCCGGTGAACATGGAGCCCACATGTGCCATGTCCACTAGATCGAAAACCTTACAGCAGTTGTCAGAATCCGCTATGACTGGCAAATCACCATCCCAGAACCCAAAAATTGGTGTATTGACCATTGCTCCAGTCAAGGCCAAAACTTCCTTAAGGCCTGATAACCACGTTCTTCTTCACGGATGCCTGAGACTCTTTTGAAGCGCGCCATGACCATCCTTGTTCATCTTAAGCCTGTAATAAGCGTAACAACAGCACAAAGCTGACAAATCATGGGGACACGTTTTCCAAGAGTCGTTGCACACACCCCTTTATGTCTGTATCTGTTGGGGACAACTGAATACGCGGCTTGCGAATTGGGGGAGGGTTGCTTGGTTGGTTGGCTGGTTGGCATGGTATGTCTAAAGGCACTCACATTTAACTCCTTTCAGGATGGGCAAAAGCAGGTTGAGCATGTTTTGCCAGGTTTTCGCTGAAAATGGCTTCCTGGTGGCTTTTTCAAGAAACCCATGAGATGACGGACAAAGGCCCTCCCCCCCAGCTCCCTTGACGAAAATCACCGGAGCATGTTTTCGGATGGGTTGATAAAGAACCTGCTCACTTCTGCCATCGATGATGGCATGCATCAGATCCGAAGTCCAACCACGGCTGGGTGCATGTTCACACCGGGGTTTGGTTTCGACTCGCCTGGGTAACCTGCTGGTTGCAGCCTACAGCGATCGACGTATCAACAAATGAAAAAACTCCAAATTTGAGGGGCTCAGTCTTGATGGCATTAAACAGGCTAAACAACTGCAGGCAGTAGTCGCCCCTTCCCCCCTTCACCTCTTCCCCACCCCTTCACCCCCACCGCTCCACCGCCCCACCTTGGCATTGGCCCTGGCAATCACGTAGTGCAGCACCTGCTGCACTTGCTGCGAGGCCGAGGCCTGCGAGCGGACGGGGCTTTTACGGAGCCGTTTTCCCTGCGACCAAGGGGATCCTCATCAGGTGAGTTTGTTCGGCATATGGGTGCTGGACATGGCGGAGCGCCCTTTTGGTGGTTGTAAGGGAAACGAAAGGAAACCGGCCACCTGGAGGGGATCCCTAGTCTTGAGAAACACCCCAAAAGGGGCCAGTCCATGTTGGCCAAGACAGATCCTTCAATCTCCAGGAAAATGCACCCCGCAAAGGTCTCAGCCATTCAACACTCTCATCCAGCAGCCTTCGCTTCTTCCCACCCAAGCCCCACGCCCGGGCTCCTGTAGATTTGCCTCCTCTCGCAGGTTGTCGGCAGGATTCAAATACCTGCAAAAGTCAGAGACCATTCTACCGGCCGATTGCAGGGAGAGGCAGGTCAAATTGTCAAAGAGGGCAACCGGGATGAGACATGAACAGCCGGTGCCAGATGTCCTATAAGGTGGCAACTCAGCGGCGGGGTCCATTGCAAAACGCGACCAAAACCGGAAAATTGGAGGACCGCTGAAAGGGTCGTCCATTTCATGCAAGATTCCTTCTGTAAAAAACCGCCTTTGGAGCGCGAGCCATTCCGGTTCTGGCGCCCCTTGGGGTTGGAGAATATGGATTTGCAGACTTGACAGACCCTTGCTTGATGGGAGATGGGCTTAAATCCAAGGGGGAAAGAAAAAGTTGGACATCTGTTAAAGCGAGAGAGGGAGAGAGAGGTTGTTCGCTCTGTCTTGGAAATGATTTGGAAATCAAGGTATTTGGGACCTTCCTGGACAGGGGTGTTTCCTACGTTACTAAAGGCCCAAACGGCAGGACCATACCTCAAGCTAGTTGAGGAGACGCCGCGCATGTGCGCCGTGATCGATTGAACCGCAACTCATTCAACCCTTGACTGCGATAAGAGCTCCCACTGTGGCACTGGTTTACCCTGCCTGCCAGTTTAACAAAAGCTCACTTCCTGAATTCGATTGGCCGAACGCCTGAGCTTTTCTATTTGCCACCAAAAATGGCCCAAACCCAAAAAGTGGCTAACGTCCAGCAACTGGAACTCAGGGAGTGAGTCTATGGAGCTTCCAAAACACCCACCACCAGACCCCAAGCCCACTTATATAAAGGGGCAAAGTACTTTGTAAATGGTCACACAGCCTGGTTATAGCCCACTTACCGTGGTTATGGGTCTCCGTTCAGTGGGTTGCACCCCGGCTTACTAAGCACTTCCCTGACGTACCGCATCGATCGCCCCTTCAGCCGCCTGTTCAGCGGCTGCACGGACACGGGGATCCGCCACTGCTCGAAGACCGTCTTCTCCTCGCTGCCCACCAGCCGGTTCCTTTGGAAGCATCGGATCCGGTCGGAAGAAACTGGCGGCCTTTGCAGGCCGAGGGGGGCCTTTTGCCCGCGGATCTGGTTTTGCCAAACCCATGTTTCTTCGCATGGAAAATAATTGTCAGGAGGGGAAGGGGGTGGGGAGTGTCTTGGTCTAGGAATCGGAGACCCCAAGATGGCGGCAATGAATGTCCTTTTGGTTTCCCTTTTCAACACCAACGGGAAAAAAGAGAGAGAGAGAGACACCTACAAGGAGTTCGGCATTCTTCCGGAAGGGCCGAGATCAGGCAGCTGCCTTCTCCCGAGAGCTTCGGATGTGAAGTTTAGGGCTTAGGCCTCGGAGGAAAGAAACTTGCTGCAACGCAAAACTGGCACGAGGCCACTTCACGTGCAGAGCAAGTAAATCAGACCAAACGACATTGAACCTTGTCAAGTTTGCGGGTTGGCTGTAGGTCGCAACAAAAGCAAGTTCTGAGTGTCAAAAACAAGGCCTTCTGGCGGTGTAAAAAAGCGTTCCTCTTGGCAGCAGACACGATCCGTGGCAAGCTGCCGGGGAAAACCTGGCCCGTTGCAAAAGATAGAAACAATCGTATGGAAACACAGAAACTGGGTGTGTCTTCTTCCCTTTCTAGATTTGGCACAGCCACACACACACACACATGAGCCTCGACACAAAGTTCATTGCCTATGTGTCCGAATAGGGCATAGGGTGACCGCCCAAAATGGGCGGTTCCTCTTTGTCTCCAAAGGGTACCCTCAAAAAACACAAGCAAACACACACACACACACACACACACACACACACACAGACACACACACACACTCACACACACACACAAATTTAGGGCTCGTCCCCCAATTCCCCTCCCAAATGGACCATAAACAAACCCGGAAATGGGTACCAAGCTCAAATATGGGTGTGTCAAACTATGGGGATCCCAGTGTGCGTGGGTACCTCCGCAAAAACCATGCACCCCTATGGGTGTGCCTGTTTTCTTCGGGGTGCCCTTTGGGGGTTATACTGCAGTTTGGGGTTATACTGCAGTGTCCCCAAAAAACACGATTCATAGAAGAACCTCCTTTTGCTTGGTGTCTAAAGGCAAACTAACCGGGAAGACCGTTGCCCCATTTTGGGCGGTCCACCTGGTCCAACACACATGCAAAAGCATCCCCCTCGCTCGCTTGCCGAGGCGCCACAGGCTCTGCTTTCGAGCCTTCACGGTGTAGAGGTTGAAGAGCAGCTGCGCCCGACCTCAACCCCACGGCCGGGTCCGGCCAAAGGCCTCCCTTCAAGGACCGGGCCTTCGGGGTGGTTAAAAATTTGTGCTCTGAGAACCTGAGGGGTGGTTCTCCTTGGTGTCTTGAACCAAGCCCCACACATCCCGAATGCCCGAAGCCGACCTGAGTGCTTCCAAACTGTTAGACCTCTTCGCTGTTGTAAAGCGGCCAAGGTCCGACCTCTTGAAATCTGGAGGTGCCCAAATTTGGGAATTACAAGGGGCTAGCCATGTGTGCCATGGTTACCACATGAAGATTGTGGGAACCTAACCTGAGAGACCTCCTGGCTGTGAACCGTTTCTTTAAAACATACAGTAATGACTAGCTGCTGCAATTCTCTTAAGGCCCATATGCCTCAGCCAAGTTTCCTCGGCAAGCCACATTGCATGCAAAAAGTCCAACGCATCATGGAGCTGATCATCTCAACAGATCTGCTCAAGGCTGGGATGCAAGTTACATCGCCCAGCCGTGGGAACACACTGTGCATGGTTGCGAAATCCATTCCGCACAAGAAACATCCTAGAATCATTTAGACTCCCCAACGTAAATACCGCAACAAACCTTATGGTTTCAACCACGGCTTCATTTCGTGGTGCGTTGGTTGGACTTCGCCACCATCCACGGTAGGCCTTCGCAACCCATGGCCGACGTAGCCTAGCGGTAGGCTCTTTTTTGATATCTCTTTGCGGTGGCCGCCGCCAATCGAAAACGGGACATGTGGCAGATCGGAGATCTGATGCATTTGCGTGAACTTCTAAGAGGCTCAAAAAATGTGTACTATACATATATATATATATAAAGAAAGAAATAAAGAAGAAGAGGAAAACAAAAAAAAAAGAAGGAAAACTATACAAACACCGAATTCAAGTTTCGCAACAACACACGCAGGAGTTTTGCCAATTGCTGGCTAGCTCCCTTTCATCCAGACCGATTGGCACACATGCCCTCTACTTTTTGCACAATGTGCTAAATCTCCAAACTTGCGGTGGCCATGCTCCTCCCTGAGAGGGAACCCTTGCAAGAGCTGGCCACATCCCATGGGATAATGGCCAGCAACGCAAAGCCCGTCAAGTAATCATACACGGCCCACGGCCAATAGAAATGCATCGTATTTGATGGTAATTACAAATTGCCCCTTCTGGAGTTGTCTTGAAAAGACGCCAAAGCCAATCACGGTCCTCAGACACCCCAAACACAAAGCTAATTGAAGGTGTTTTTGGCTTTGATCCACGAGGCTCCCATGCGACCCATGGGAAAACGGGCACCCTTGTTTGGGTAGTCGAAATTGCTTTCTCCCAAAAAATGGGTAGTGTCTCTGTGGATTTCCCCGTGAACCAACCCTTAAGGTACCCTAAAACACCCACACACACCCACACACAACACATAGACTACGCTGATGAAAGCGCCCCGGAACCCAAAGGTTGCCTCGACTCGAGCCGAAATCCATCGCAATCCGATTGCGCCTGATCTGTCCAGGTTGTTCTCCAAGATCTCGGAGAATCTCTCTACCGTCTTCTCCAGCTCCTACGGCGGATGCCATAAATGGGTATGGATGTTAAGGGGGAAGGGGAGGGGGAAGGGGGGGAAAGGGGGGGGAAGGGGAGAGGGGGGGGGAAGGGGGCTGGGGGGGGGGGCGGTGGCGCGCATCATTTTAGGTTGGGACCGACTACTTTTGAGGGGGGTCCCGATCAAAATGCATCGCCAAACATTGCAGGGGAACCAGGAACCCCCCCCATTGCCACAATGTACCATGGTTTTGGGGGTGTGTAGTTCGTTTGCTTGCAAAATGGAAAGCACCATATCGCCCCAAGAGCAAGAAGCCGGGCAGGTCGCAAAGGCATGCAGAAAAGTGAAGCAAGTGGTCAAGGCAACAAGGGAAACCAAAGTGCAAACAAAATAAAACCTTGGATCTGAATCAGTACTACTATCACCGTTTGGCTATGAATCCCCACCAAAGGTGAGTAGGCATAAATTCCCACCAAAAGTGGGTGTTCACCAGTTTGGGTCCCGAATTGATTTTCGTGCCCATTTGGGCGTCTTTTCTGAGGGTACCATTTTTGGAGCTGGTTACAAAGGAAACCTTAAAGGAACAACGATCCATTGTCTCTAAGTCCCCCTTTAAGACAAGCCCATTTCTCCAAATAGGGGTCCCCCCCATTTTTGGGGCGCGTGTCCCTTTGGTTTCGCTCAACAACACCTTGCAACCAACCCGAAAACGACTGACCATTGAAGGACAAAGATGCGGCTGCCGCCAATTTGAGGCGCGAGGGAGAGACGGTCGCTCCCTCGAAGGTGTAGGGGGACATTTCCCCAAAATATCGCTCGCCGGCTTCCCCCGCAAGCTTGTTAGCTTCTCAAAACTTTCCAAGACAGTGTTAGGTGGCCCACCCCAAAAAGGTTCCTCTCGAAACCAACGCCATGTTGCTGTATGAGAAATGTCAATTAGAAACCCTCAAAGTAGGATTCGCTGGCTGACGGCAAAAAGCCATCTGATGGCGGCTAAAACTCCCCTGACGGGACTCTGTCATCAGCTTCCCTGAGAGTGGCTTGGAGCCCAGCGGTTTCGAGGCAGTTAATTTCTGCAAGAATTCAAGTCCAAATCCAGTGGCCACTGGCCCAATTGAGGGTTGCCTGGCTGAATTTGGGTCTTCAAATGGGCCCCCCCCAAAAAAACAACAACGATTGCGTTTCTTGAGTTTTCTTTTAAACAAACACCTGCCGGAAAAGGGTGCCTTCACAAAACGACAAGCCCATGTCAAGTCCTTTGAGCCCGAATCCCTCAACCTCGGCCTCGGCGTTCCCCGACCTGCACGTGCCGGGGCTCGTTGATCCGCACATACTCCACGTCAAAGAGCTCGGAGACCACAGACTTCGGGTCCTTTGCCGTGTTGCACCCTTCGAAGAACCCAACGGAAGGATCTTCGCTTAACCAAACGTTTCCGGAAGAAACGGCAGGGCTTCCCACTTCCAAGCGGTGCGAAATGGAGCTCGCGACCAGCCGCGGTATGGATTGCACAGGGAAGTACGGACAAAACAAGGGCTTCGACAATGGCTTCATTTCGGGGTGCGAAATGGATTTTGCAACTCTCCACAGCATCTGCCCGGGGCTGCCGCCCCCCCCCCCCAACCCCCCCGCTATTTGTTGGACTTTTTGCCCCTAATTCAATCATCACTTTTTCGATCATCATGCGACCGCTACTTTTCAGATTCTTTGCCCCTAATTTTTCGATCATCATGGGGGAGCTGCCGCCCCCCCCCCCCCAACCCCCCGGCTATGTTTTAGACTTTTGCGGCGCTAAGCCGCTATCAAAAAGCGAAACGCCACTACTTGCTGATGTAGGCCCCCCATGTTCGCTCCAAATAAGCAACAGCCTACTACTTTCCGTAGCTCACTTAGCTGCCTCCTTCACTCCTCACCTCCCCTTGGGGGCATGGCTGAAAGGGATGTAGTACCCACTCGTTTGGTCTCTCGAATCCATGCGATTGGTTCTGATTCCCTTTGCGTTCAATGGAAACAGGGCGGGCTTGTTCTACCATGTTCTAACATTCTTCACAGAGAAAGCCTTCAGGTGAGCGGCCGAGTCTTATTTGTCCTATGGTTTTCAAGGGCCTCCCAATGGAGGCGATTCCCCAATTCCAGCGGACTAAAAAGGTCTAGGGGCAAATGGGGGCCCTGATAATTCTAGGAAAAATCGAAGACAAGAGTAAACGCATGTTTTGTTGGTCGATCTTGTGGGGATGGGCAAAACGGGTGCCCTGTCCCCCCTCCTCTCAAAGCTTTGGGGCCGGCGCTATCGAGTCTGCACCGCCAATGGTGCGGCAAACCACCAAGCAGTGCCTCACTGCGACACATGAGCGGCCATGTTTATCTGTTTAAACTGTTTCCCCAGCTGTTTGCCCGAGGCTCTGCGACAAATAACGATGAGTATGGACCGCTCTGCAGTTCAAAATTGGGTTGGAATGTCGTTCATCTGCGTATGTCTATACGTAGAACTCTCCTTGGCTTCCTTTTAAAGCAAGCCCAGAAGGCCGTCCTCGAAAAACTACACTTGCCCACATGAACCAGGTCAGAATGTGCATCTACTCTGAAAAACGCGGAAAAATTGGCGGGTCCCCTCGTGGGACCACCAAGGGTTCGGCCCCTTCTCGTCCCTCCCAAAAATGAACCCGTCCAAAACGCTCACCGAACTGGGCAAGTCAAGAATTTGGGGTCCCAAAACAAGGGTACCAACTCGGGACAACACTCAAATGCGCGGCAACAAATTGTCTTGGCCTGACCAGAGATCTGAATAACCGCCAAGCGGTCGTTTCCGGAGGAGGTCAGGAGTTGCGACATCGCTGTCAAACCTGCCCACCAAAAACCGGGCATCTTTCGAATGCGCGCGTACCACGCCGGTTTTGTTGGGGTGTTGGGCTGGCTGGGACCCAGCTTCTGGGTCGAAGCCATTTTGACAAGCCCTGAACCTAACAGGCGGATGCTAGCTTCGGCCGCACGCAAAAGAGTGGATGGCAATGTGAGAGGCGTGCAACGAGTTCAGACCTCCAAGGTGATTCGCGTGTCCCTGATCATTCATGGATGTTGCAAAATGAAAGAAGTCGGGCCAACGTCTCACAGCTGAGATCCAAATGCGCTAAGAACCATGGTGAACTCAATGCCCAGACCAATGCCTTGATGTCAGCGGTTCTCCCACGGCAACTTCGGATCTGGCGGCTTCATGACGATCCCGTCTACGGAGTCCGGAAACGTCCCTCACTTCCCATCGAGCGGATTGGCCAAAGTCTCCGAACGGTGTACCACCAAAATGGCTCCAAACCCAACCCACCAAGTAACCGACCAAAGTCCGGAGAGGAACTCAAGCAGTCAGACCTCCAGGAACTCATCCAAGCCCCCCCGCCCCCCCCCGGCCCCCCGTGCCCACAACAGCTCCAAGCACCCTGCAGAATGATCCGCATGGCCTCCTTTACCTCGCGGACGGTCGTTTTCTGGGGGAAACGCCCCGGGGTTGGCTTGGTGTTGAATGGCTTCTTGGGGGAAACACCCCCTGTGTTTCTTGGTTTTGAATGGTTGTTTGGGGGAACCTTCCGCGGTTTGGTTGGTGAACGGTGTTGAAAAGGAAATCAACCACTTCTCAAGGCGTCTCTCATGTCGTTCCGGTTTAGGTGTTGACTCGAGGGCGGAGATCGACGAAACCAACCATCTGGGTTCCCCTCGATTCGCCGATTGGCGTGGACGCCTTCCCTACAACCCCCTCATGCAGAGGCTTCATGATCATGCCTTGCAGGCCTGGCCACAGCACGAGAAGTCTTTCCCGAAAATCAGAACCTCGCTTTGGGTGATCTTGGGGGATTGCGCCAATCTCAAGAACCTCAATTGTTGGGCTTTCTGTTCAATTCGTCTGTCTCACGTCTGACGAGTGTGAAAGCGAATCTGTCTCCACAAGTCATGTGCCTGCCTTCCAATTCATCCAATGTGTTTAGTTGGATGGTAATGTGATAGTGATTTCCTGCACAAGTACACATCTTGGTCAACGTCCCCCCCAAATCCAGGATTCAAAACGTGTGCTTCTTCATAATTTCAGCCAAGGGCAAAGGATGAGAAGTGGCCAAAAGCGTGGAAGGTCTGCTTTCGCTTGAAAGGAAGCCACCGCAAACCCGGCCCAGCTGAGCTTCTCCCTTTGAAAAGCGACCTGGCCACCAGGCTCTCTCCGGAGTCCAGCCAAAGGACAGGGAGCCACCCAAGAGGAAGCTCAGCCCTCCAGACCCCCTCCCCCCCCCCCCCCCAATTTTTGAGAACCGCCCTGGGTCCTCGCGGAAGAAATCTCCCCACGGCCATCTTCGGTGTGCGACCCCTGGGAGTCCCCGGGCCCTCCTGGGGGGGGGGGAATGGGGGGATTCCTGGGGCCCCGTGCGTGGCACATCGCCAGCCGCAGCTCCGGGCTCACGAACTCCTGAGAGAAGGACCCAATTCGAGGAACGAACTGACCCGGAAATGAGAAAATACTGTGGATGGACAAAATCCTGCACCACCCAAGAAACCCTGGAATGATGATTCTTCTGTAAACACCAACAAACAATGGGTTCCCATGGTTTCCACGTGGTGCAGGATTTCGTCCATCCACAGTATGATCACCTTATTTGAACCTTGGCAGGACAAGGTCCAAATCGGTTCCCGAGAAACTGGCTCGGGACATCGAGATGAAAGGGGAGCACCCCTTGGGCCACTAAAAATGGGAAGGCAACATGGAAAAACCGAGAGGTCACATAGGGCCGATTCGCTTGGGGCAAAAGTGATCCGGATTCCATGAAATCAACCACTTAAAGGGGCATTCTGCTTAGAAAGTGGCTGGTAAGCATGGTTATAACCGACTTACCAGGTTGTAAGTCTCCAAAGTGGGTTACAAGCATGGTTACCAACAACTTATTCAGTACACCCCTTTAAGTAGTCTTCAAAGAGTCTAGAGAGCTGACTTTTTGTCCGGCTTACATGCTTGGTGTAGCCGCTCTGATCGGTAAACGTGGTCAGCTTCAGGTGCGATGAACAGTCAGTTTGGTTTGCCATCCTCACCCATCCATTTTTTCCCGCAACCAAAGGCGTCAGGCTTTGGCTCCAAAAGAAAGGTATATGCACTACGCTGTACGTGAGTACAGGCCGTCCGAATTGACCACTCCCCCGGCATTCCGCACAGAGTAGCTAAGCAATCCATCGAAGTGGCCGTGCCCAGAGCTGCGCAAAGGAACCCCCCAAACAACAAAAAGGCAACATCTGAAGCCGCCCTCTCTCCCCAGCATGTGCATGCGATGTGTCTGAACTACTACGGTTGGGCCCCGTGTTTGGTCATGCAAAACCACTGAGGCTGGCTTTCCTTTCAAGGAAACGAGGGTCTGGGTGGTTGATCCACTTTTGCCTAACCCCGCTCAACGGGATCAACGGGATCCGTCTCCCCCTTCCCGCGGTGCCGGAATTTCGCCTCCACGTTCAGCATGGCGCCCCGGCTGGGTCCGGCGCGCGCCGGAAAAACTTCGACTTGGGCTGTGGGTTGGCTGTAGCTTTTGGAGTGGGCTCTCAAGTTTCTAAGGGATCCTGCCTTTTCTTGGTTGACGTTGGAAGGGGAGCAAAAATTTAAATTTTAGCAGTCAAGTGGGGATTTCCCACTAAACCACAAGAAGCAAAAATGTAAAATGTTTCCCAACGACAACCATGTTTTGGATTCATTTCAGACTGAGCGGCCGGTTTCCTTTGGCCTTTGCTTGGCAGCTGTCTTCTATATGTCATTTCCTTGCAAGCCACCGGTTTGAGACCGACCCCCAAGTAGGGGCCCAACAAAAGGCACATGCAAGTGGCGTCGCCCATGCGGAAAACCAAGGCTGCTCTGCCGCTTTCATCCCACTTTGGGTTCCCCCGACGAGGTGTCGGCCAGTTGGATCCCTTATCCTCTGACACCAAAGCCACTGAAGCATGCGAATTTCAGATGCGTTCGCACGCCAAAGACACAGAGCGTGCGGTGGAATTCGATCTTATGCCGAATTTGGGGGTGGCCGTCCATGTCACTTGTCCAGCTTGGGCCAGGGCGGCAGAATTCGCTGTAAACACATCTCGAGTGGTTCCCAGCAAGCGCAGCCCTGCAACTCTTACGGCTACACCCCCACCAAAGCCGCTCGTGCCGATGTGTCTTTTTCCGGTTAGCAGCTCTCTTCCGCTTGGCTCCTGAGGATCAGCGCAAAGGCGGCACAGAATCAGTCGGTCCATTGGGACCCACCAAGTGGCGGGCAGTGTTGGCATGAGGAGCTTGCCAGTGGGTAATTGGAGTGGACATAGTCGATGCAAGTCGACCCGGACAAAACCCGGCGTTTCTTGCTTCTGCACGAGTCTGCTGATAGGTTCTGCGCGGTTGGCATCCAAGGTGGATTGCTTGCACTACTCTCGTCCCAACAACATCCACCAGCCAGTGCTTTGGTGAACTTTGGATTCTGTTTGCAAAGTCAAAAGAACATCTTCCCCAAGTCCAGCACGGGCTCCGGCCGCCAGAACTATGCTAAGCAAAGCGATGGCAGTCCTCGCGGTAAAAACAAATCCCCCTTTAGGAAACACCTGCCAAAAACAGAACCGAGAGTCTGGGTTTCATTCGCTCGAGGCCAGAACTGTCATGTCCCGTGCTTTCTTTTGCGGTGACATGTTTTACCTCCAAATGTCAACTTGCAACGATTCTCGTGGCATCCAACTGATGGACGGGCACCCTTGACGCCCATGCTCGCCCTGGCACGTCCCTCCCGGTCCTGCCGGGCCTGCCCCAGAACTTTTGCCTGCGGAGCGTGGCATTGGTGCGGCACGGTGGAAGTTCCGGACATTTCAGAGGGCCTGCAGGGTTCCCTACTCCCACCAATCAACCATGGAACTTGACACGCGTCCTACAGGGACCCCCTTTCAGGGTCCATATTAATTGATGGGAGGGTACATATCCCCTACCAAGGGAACTCACCCAAACTGGACAGAACAAGGTGACGTTTAAAGTACCAAGCAAATATAGGGACCCTCTGGCGTCTGTGGGTCCCTGCAAGAAGTGAAAAGCCAGTGATGGGTGTTCTTCTGTTCAACTCAGCTGGGTTTCTGCCAGGGTTGCCCTACCGCTCCCAAGGCAACTTTCAGCTTCGTGCAGTTTCTCGTTGGACGTGGTTAAATTGGGGTTGATGAAAGGTCCAGCAAACATGGGATGACCATTGGTTGGAAAACAATATTTCAGCCACATGGGAAAAATTAACGGTCAAAACTGGGGGCCAAACGGAATATTGATCAAGCCCCAGATGTTTCAGGGGTTTGATCATTGCTTACGTGGAGCCTTGAAGGCGCTTGCCACATTTTTTCTGAACAGTGAAAGAGAGCATTAAAATGGTTTACCCGACTATCCCTTACTAACCGTCATCTTACCGGGTTTTGAGCAAGTGGCTCATGTGAGGCAGGGGAATGGGTTCCTGCCAAGGTTTGCCCGTCACCAGTTGTGTGTCAACTGCCAAATGTACCATGGTCTGAGGGCATACTATGATGGTTTGGAAACTAGCCATAGGCTTGACCTAAAATTCAAAGCCCCGTGACAGGGTGGATCAATGGACTGTTGAAGAAATGAATTTCTCCCTGACCACACACAGCCCATACTGTATGGACGAAATCCTGCACCACCCAAGAAACCCTGGAATGGTGATTCCCCTGCAAATGCCAACAAACAATGGTGTCAACCATGGATTCAATCTGGTGCAGGATTTCGTCCACAGTAACATGTAACGGTCCCCCCCAAGTTTTTTACCATAGGCTGAAGGCAACCAAACATCATATCCTCTCCCGTGTGGCAGCAATGCTTTGCCGTGTCTGAACCATGTCCCGAACCACGGTTTCAGCTCGCATTGTTCGGCTTTCGGAGTGCGCAAGTGGCGCGCAAGTCGCGCGTGCGCGACAGGCGTGCCTCTTCCACACCAGGCTGTAGCCAAACCTCGGCGTGTGCAAAATGGCTGTGGGTCAAAAATCGGGTAACCCCAAAATGGCTTGCCCTGGTAAATGGAGCCAAAGACTAAAACCTGCGGTCGCCTGGTGGCCTAATTTTGACCCACAGGCAAATCTGTCCTTAAAGGGGCATTGTTCTTAGTAATAAGCATGGTTTTGACCCACCTACCGTGGTTATAAGTCTTTTAAGCGGGTTATAACCAGGCTTACTAACCACTTACCAAGTACCCTGCCCCTTTAAGTGGACTCGTGGGATCTTCCAACAGTTGCTAAGTGCCTCTTCCGCCACTTTTGGAGGTCACGGGACTCGAGAAGAACCCGGGTGGAGTTGCACAGGGCCGGGAATGGAATCCACGAATCTGTGATACAGAAAGGGCTTAAAGACTATTTTGTTCACAAAAAGGGGGATTCCCTTGTATCACAGAAGTGGTTGGAGAAACCCCGAGTGATCCCACAACCGATTTGAAGGGCTGCGAAATTTCCTCTGAAGAGAGCATCCAATGAGAGACCGGTGGCCTCGCAATCGACAGCCGCAGCCCACTCACTGCTATTCTTGTTCAGGCGTCTGGCAAACTTCCCACTCCCGTAGCCATTTGGGTTAGGAAGAGCACCTGGACCCCCAAACTCGGAGGAGAAAAAAAAAACGAAAGAAAAAAGTGGGATGCTGCCCATGGGGTGAATCCCCCATCTTTCAGGCTATGTTGAGGGTCCAATCAACAAACCCATCGTATCAGGAGGGGGTGTTCCCTCCAAAAGTGACCCACCCGCAAAAAGGAATTGGACACCCCCCCAAAAGAAAAAAAAGGTTCCCTCCAAAAGTGACGACCCACCCACCAAAAAGGAATTGGACACCCCCCCCAAAAGAAAAGAAAAGGTTCCCTCCAAAAGTGACGAAACCCACCCACAAAAAAAGGAACCCCCCAAAAAAAAAGAGAAATCGAACTCCACCAGGTCGCTCCGCTGGTTTCCTCGGTTCCCACCCTCTGCAAAACGCACCGCGGACGCCTCGCTGACGCCTCGCAGGTCTGGGGCCGCCGGCTCCCGGCCGAAGAAGATCCCGTAGAGCCGGCTCCGGTCGCCGCTGCTGTAGAGCCATGGCCTTTGAGACGAACTTCCGACCCACAGAGAAAAACGGACAGGCGGGCCTCTGCTTTTTTTCTTTTTTCTTTTTCGGCCACCTAAGTGGTTGGAGGGAGGGAGTTTTACCAAAACCAAAGGTGCTGCGAGTCTAATGCACCATTTGGTGGGGGGAGTATCTACACTAGGGGAACTCTCTGATTGGTATGCTGGATGAATCAAAAGTGTGCTTTAGCTGAGTGGGAGTAGAAGATTTGGCTCTGGCAAAGGCCACTAACATCTATGTCATGGATGCTAACAGCGTATCCTAATTGCTCATGCGAGTCGAGGGTGTGCCTTCCAACCACAACTCATGACCTGGGGTATGACTTAGCTTCTTGCGCTTTTAGTGGCTGTTTCACAAGACAAAATCGAAGCAAAACCGATCTGTTTTGGGGGTCCCCGACTTCCAGTTGAGACACGGAGAACATGAGACGTGTTTTTTTCTTGGGCATGGGAAACGTCTGGGTGCCGTGCCCAATCTCATCCCCAAACCAAGAGTAGGCCAATACCAGAGCACCAGTTCTCCCACAGTATCCGGGCGAATGTCTTCGTGAACGATGTGGCACTTGTCTGTATGATTAGAGCCAATGATATTGTCAGCTACTTAAATGAGTACGTGTCACAATAGAGGAACGGCTGCTGCTTTCCTGTTGGCTTCCCTTTATATAACCAAGCTGAACATGATACCCTCAAAAACATATACCCAAATGGCTGAATTTCAATATGGAACCACACAAGTAGTTGGTGGACAATCCCCACAAAGGTCCCCTGATAAAATTCTGACCCACATGGGTGTCTTTTTTGAGGGTACCCATCGTTTTATGGCTTTAAGGGGAAGGAAACCCAAAGGAAAACCAATGCCATTTTGGCGGGGGTCCCCTAAAACTCCTGACAAACCCAAATGATACTGTGGATGGACGAAATCCATTTCGCACCATTTGGAGAACCATGGTTGAAACCATTGTTTGTTGGTATTTACAGGAGAATCAAATCATTCCGGCTTCTGAACGGTGGTGCCAAGCGGATTTCGTCCATCCACAGTATCAAGAGATCAAATCCACCCCACCCGGGGCTCCCAGCAGCACGTCGGTCTCATCCCCGGAGAAGCGCTCCAAGCGATTGCCTCGGGAGCCAAGGAGTTCTTTGGTCCGGCGGCGGGTAGGTTACCGGGGGGGTAGTTGAGCGCCCCCAAAAGGTTCTTAAAGGCTTCCCTAGGGTTCCCTATGGGGAGTCTTAAGGGAAGATCCGCCTTGGACACTCCCCTTAGGGATTCCATGAACACGTGGCGTTCTTTTCTCGGTCGTCAAAGAAACCTGGTGGCCAACGGCTGGCCGCAAACCAACCACTGCCAACAAACCCCGGCGAATCGCGGGGAAACTTGACAACCCACTCTCTTGTTACCTTCTTGCACAACTCAAGAA